AAACAAAAAATGTTTCTTATTCATATCACACTAGACAGAAAAAAAGGCAGAATAGTTAGAAATATGTTTTCGAAGCGATAGTCTTCAATTTCGAGATTCAAATTGCGCGCGCTTATTTGAAGTGCCATCTATTGAGATAATATTAAATTATGTACTTGAGAGCCATCACCAAAACGTCAAAAGAATACTGTATCAAGACCGCTTGTATGCAAAATGACACTTGAATTTCTAAAATCAAAATACTCGCGCTTATTTGGGGCGCCATCTATTGAGACAATATTAAATTATGTACTTAGGAGCCTACTAAAACATGAAAAGAAGACTGTCCAAGGGCTCTTACACATAAACAATAAGTTCAACTTCGAGATTTAAATTGCGCGCGCTTATTGGATGCGTCATCTATTAAGAAAACATTAAACTATGTAGTTCAGAACTGAACTTATACGGAAAATTGCATTACAGAACTTTGATGACTTCAAGTCTTCAATTTGGACATTCAAAAAGGGCTTGGTCAAGTTTGTATAAGATAGTTGACATTCCAGTTAGACAGTTTTAATCTTTCTTATTTTCTATCCCTTTCTTTTAGTTCTTACACATTAAGTAATTACAGCAGATCTTGTTTAAATTTTAAGTACATTGCGTGGCGTTATTGCTAAAAAGCTTGTCTTGTCCAACCTTAAGTCTCGTGCAGCTTTCAGATAGCTGCCGTCGGCGTGGTATTCAAACTTAGTCGTTTTACCACTAAACATGGGTTTATTGTGACATGTTTTTTTAACACCCCGGTATTTAGTATCCGATTTACTTGGACACTATACAGGGTTGTTTGTAAAATATTAAAAACTTCGCAGGACTATATTACTTTAATCATAAACAACAACTTCTGTTCCATGACTTTTTATAACATTTTATAACTTTTTATAACACTTTTTACGACAAAACAAAAAAAAACTATTCAGTTTTTGTTGTTACTATCTGACACCTTTTAGACATTTGGTAGTAAGTTGTAAGTTACTAAGTAACTATTAAGTAATTAAAGAAGGATGGTGACATCCCGTGTATTTTTGAGACCCAGTGTTTTAGACGACGTGCATTAAAGAGACCTATCAATACTTGTAACATATTATCAAAGCATCAAAAAAGCTAACTGAGTACAGCCTGTAGAAGGGTTATAAAGTTGATATAGGGTATGTTTATAACATTGTCCCGTATTTCGCTTCAGATGTTTGTTCGTAGTAGCAGAAAACAACAAGTTTTCAATTTGTACTAAAAAATAATAAAAACACTGGCTGAATATTCCCAAATCTGCCAAACTATGCCACATTTAATACAACCTTAACATATTCTGCCGCAATGAAAATAAATAAAAATTAAATCTGCCCAAATGGCAGAAATCTGCCACAAATGGTCACACTGCTCTCAATCTCAATATGACATTGGCAAGAGGTCTCTTGTCAAAACGTTCCTTCGCTAACTTTTTTATTTTATTTCTTTTCTTAATGAATGGCTTATGAGACTACATAGTCTCAATTCTGGCAGTATCCGTTTTCTAGTTTCATAAACGTTATGGACGATGTGTTAGAATTTTGTTTGGCGACTCAGAGGGAGAATCGAAGAGATTTTTGCACAAATTGAATTCTAGAACAAAAAAAAACGGCGCAAACTTTGCTAACTTTCTTATCTCTCATTTAAATATTGTCTAAACATTTTTGTCATATTGTGTTTTGTTTTTTACTTTACATCATTACTGTTTAATTGATTAGGTATTTGATTATGTATTCTATAGCTTTAATGTTTTATGTGTGTACTATAAAATAACCAATACATTCAGCCTGATCTATGGTCGAAGTGAATCAATTGCGTTATGTTCTTGCATTTATTCTAAAATACTTTGTTTTACAATTACTTTATTTCCGGACTTCTAAAAATATACTGACAACTATAGTTCATTCCACTTGGGATGATTCTGGTGGCGTTTGAGATTTGAAGTTTCTAGGGATGTGGTGACGTAAAATCACATGAAAAAAATCGATTTAAATAATTTATTATGAAGAGATTCGACTATTATGTTATTAAGTTACCAAAAAAAAAAACGCAACAAATAAAAAATCAACAACAACCAAACAAAAAGTCAGCAACAAAGCATAAAATCAACTGCAACGAAACGAAAATTACAAAAAAACGACAATTACTTCAAAAACATGACGCAAAGCTCACAACAAAAGAAGAAGACGCATACAAGGTATATGCACTAGTGTTGACGCGAGATTCATAATAGCCGATTCGGTTTATCGGTTTTATGGTGTAAATCTCTATGGATAAAATATTCCGTTTCACGCATCAAGTAATTGAGGCAATTTATTTTTAATTTTACTGTAATTTTTATCAACAAATTTAATATTGTTCGTTTTTGGTAAATTATAACTTATAACACATGTACTATTTACTTTTATAACGTGGTCGAGAGATTAGTTAGAAATAGTACGCGTGCAAAGTAAAAATTGTCAATGTTACAGAACTCATCCCTATTGAAATGGACAATAGGCATAAACTGAAACGCAAAATTATACTAGCAAAGTTCACGAACAGCTCTTCATTGATTTTATAATAACTGGGTCAGCTTTCGCCATCCTTCCTTATTTAACGAACTTTTGGGTTACAATTGTTCCACATGGAAGTAAATACATGAAACTACTGAGAATAAACGATTGTAGCAACTCCTCTCGCGTGCTGTCATTCATAAAAAGAATCGGTGGCGGGTCTTTTCTATTACCGTTTTAAGCGATCTATTGAAAATGTTTATTTTTGTACGAAAGTAAAATCTGATTAATTAATTAAAAGTTATGGAACAAAAATTGTTGTTTATGATGTCAGTAATATAGTCAGTATTTTACAATCACCCTGTATAATGTACTCCTGCAATAATTAATTGTTGTGGGAAGTAAATAATTTTTTCTTGCTTAGAATTTTGATTCAGAAAGTTTTGGGTTTATAAATTAAGCCCGATGGGAACATTGCGACTCATCCGTAGAACAAAGACGGCTCATTCTCAGGACATTGTACATTTCGTCCGTTGTTCTTCACTGTGGATTTTATATTTGCGCGATTTTATATGTCCGAAACGAAATAAGATATAAAAATTGTGTAAAACACTTATTTGGTTTCAATAATGAGATTATGTACTATCCTCTTTTCGCCGTATATTCACATTCGACTCTGTTCTTCGGATGAGCCCATTGACATAGCGCTATGTCGTTCTTGCGCAAGGCTTTTCGGGTTATTCCCATCTGATCTCTTAAAACCGATCCCTTGGGGAATCCGTTTTATTTTATATTATTATCTATTATCGGATCCCTAGTGCGGGGGATCAAAATCAAATATTAAAATTTTATTCCCACCTGAAACTCTGGTATTTACAAGTTTATTTTTGGTAGATAAAGTGGTACAGTCAACAAGAAAATGTATTTGAGGGTTTATTTATTAGAAAATAGTCAAGGTCTTTAACCTTTTGTTAATTTCTTAAATGCTACTTAAGACTGTTTTTTGTTACTTGTGATTTGCAATATATCAATATTAACGACTTATCACAAAAAAATTTGAATGTCTGTGATAATTATAACATTTGATCACAATATTGCTCAATAAATGAATATTTGATTTCAAAACTTCTTTTTGTTTTGACTGTACTTACCTTACAAATACAATGATCCGTTGGGAGTTGTAAAATATAGAGAGGATGAGTTGAGTTAAAATTAAATTTGCGGTGGATCAGATGAGAATAACCAGGCTTTCGGTGCCTTGAGCAAAAACAAAATTACTAAAAAAAATTGCACACCGTTTTCGCAAGTCACTGTCGTGTAGATTTACGTCTACATTTACATGTAGCAACTAATTTTAATACACTAACATTTTCAAATGTTGTATAACATATAAACTACCCTAAACAAAGTGCACTCTATAGGGTGACACTTGGCTGGTTTCACAGATGTGCCTACGGTCCGTACGGTCTGATACGCCTGCGGGCCATCCGCATGCGTAGAACCTGCAGTGATCTGTATCGAGTATTTAAAAGTGCGGATATTCACGGAAGACAGTCGCCTATAATGAACGCACGGGTGGTTCGTGCTGAGTTAACGTGGAGCGTGTTCCGTACGGAGTAATCCGCGTCACTGTAAAACGATGTTCTATCGTCATACGTGTTATTCCGCTCCGGTGCTCCGCGCGGACGGTCCGCAGATAAATCCGCACTGCTTTGAAACCAGCCTTATGATTATCTATTTTGATACCTTAAGGTTTGATTCCGATGGGTAGAATCGTCAATAAATTAATGAAAAATATGAAAAGAAATCAGCGAGCCGATAATGTGGATAAAAGAGGATTGTAAAATCTCCCTAAAAAAATATTTTATTGAGAGATTAAACCAATTAATAATACACAATGTCAAATGAAGAGAATTTCTCTATAACCGTAACACGACGGCCAAATTTTGTATACTTTTGCGGTTCGCTACAATAATAATGAATAGTGATTTTGTCCTTTCACTAAGTTTCAGTCTTCAAGATCTTTTTTGTTTCCGGGCTCGTACTGAAATTTTAAAACGACGAACCGTCAAAGTACTTTTGACTGATATTATATAGTGTTGCCGTAATAAGGTTTTGAAAAAATATGTTGTGCCAGCTTTCGTTGGCCAGACTCATCGAGTATATAACTATAACTAGAGACGAAATGTCATTTAATTTGTTTGAAAAACAATTCTGCCAAATCATTACGGTGACAACTGCGCTCCGATTGGCCAGCCCGAATTCGAAACAATTGACGGGCGTCGTTTAACTTGAGCTTTGCTATAATGGACTAAATTGACCATTTTAACTTAAGCTTTGCTATAATGGACGAATATTGAAAATAACATATTTCATATTTAATTGTGGTGATTTTAGTGTAAAAGAGAATTGATATTTAAAAGTGATATAAGGCCCATTTGCCTGATGAGTTGCCAAGTGTGGATGGCCCTTAATTCGTCTCTATTTCTGGTTATGTACTCGATGGCCAGAGTACATGAAATTCTAAATGTAAACTCCAGTGGAGTATATAAGCTTCTTGCTTGCAACGCGATGTTCGTACGCGTTTGAATCGAGCCAAATGCGATACAGATGAGCTTCGTACGCGCTTCTTGAAACGCGTTTACTCGTATCATCTGCGCGTCGTCGGCGCGTATAAAATACGTTGTGTGCATAGGCTCTAATGGGTAGGCGTGTCGCTTATCACCAGGCGCACGACTTCTTCGTCCCTTTACTGGATATTAAAAAAAAGGTATATAGTCAGCTGTGACAATGGGATTTGTAAGAGCTCGCAACGTTTTTGAAAAAGCGATATACGTGTACACGTCGTAATGATAACTCTCCCCATCAGAACCAACACCTAACATCGAAAATAGAAAAATATGACACCCATATATCTATTTAAAAACAGTGCAAAATTCCTTGTATTTTTTTCCTATCAATAATTCGTACAAACACCTGGATGACAAAGTTATGTCTTATGACAAACAACTGGGCAACAACCTATATTATTATATGCCAGAATATGGCACCAAGACCTGATCTCAAATTAGGCAATTCCTTGTATACTATGCGTGCCGAAATAACAAGATTAATTCTGAAGGCAGAACAACTAGAACTACCCGGGACCTCTTTGCTAAACCTCCCTCTGTTTGAAGCGCCATCTATTGAGACAATGTCAAACTATGTACTTGAAACTTGTCACCAAAACGTGAAAAGAAGACTGTCTCAAGACTGCCTGTATACGAAGGTTCACAGTCCCATTTTCAAAATTCAATTTGCGCGCGCTTCCTTAGGGCGACATCTCTTGAGACCATGTTAAACTATGTAGTCGAGAGCTGTCACTGGGTATTAGAGAGCCTGGCTTTCAGAGGGAGGTACCAGTCTATATTTGTTACTTCTGGATATCTGATTATTACACACACACAATTAAAATGCTCTCACAAAGAGCGAGATTATTTATAATGATGTTTATTTGACACAATAAGCTGTCGGCGGACGGCAGCGATCACGTTGGTCACGCCGTTGAAAGACCAAGCGTGACTGGGCCTTACAGGGTTAGAGAGACTATTTACGTGGGCTAAGTTGGCTAAGTGGGCTAATTTTCTTGTTATTTGTCCACTTATGTTTGGCTAAGTAAAAACGGCTTACAGGTATATTTTTGTTGTTACGACTTTTAACAGTTGTATTTGAATTGTTGTTAGGGAGACTTGAGGAGCTTTTCCTGTTCGTCCTGGCGGTAGTGCCCGTTGCGCGGTTCGGGCGAGCTGCGCGGCGCGCTGAAAGATACGCGCGCTATAGGCGATGCGGGCACCACGCTCGGATTCGGTGACACCTGCAGGATTATAAAATTGTTTCAAGACAGCGTTGTGGTATTCAAGATGATGTAATAAGGCATAGATAGAAAAGGGAATGGTTCGGTGTATTTATCGGTACATTTTTTTGTGAAAAAGCTCCACTAGTTTTGTTGTATTTACGAATTAAAAAATCGAACACACAGAAAAATTATTATGTATCTAATAAAGTAATCTCAACAAATATGTTCTATCAAAAAGCGACATCTGCGTCAAGTATGATACCTGTAAAGGTATCGGCTGCAGTGTGAAGGTTATTCAAAAATTTCACTAAATGTCACTAGCGGCGACGAATGCCGAAAGTCAGTACAAAGATCTAAAACAAAAACACAGAGGAAGAATTTCAACGATTCGGTAACTAGGCCCGTGGCTCAGATAGTTAGCGCAATTCTACGACGCAGCATGGACGTGGGTTCAAGTCCCACCGGGTAGACAAAAATGTTTCTGTGCGTTCGATCTGTGTATTCATAATCATAACAAAATAATAATAGTTCGATGATTTGTTATTTTTTTAAATATCTTATCGATTTTTATTTTTGGTAAATGTGGATATAATAGTTTTATCGAAATTGCATGCTACTGGGGCAGAGGTTGACAAGAGATGTCGCTTTATAAATTGTAACAACCAGGGCGACCGTGAGGTCTACTGACTCGATCTGTAGTTCAGTTGGTAGAGGCCGCCCTGGTATGGCAAAGACGCAGGTTCGAGTCCTGTAAGATCGAATGAATTTTTATTATTAGGAGTTGTGATGGCAGATGGAAGTAAAGCGACAGCCGAACGGTAACCAAGACATGACTACAGAAATGTGGGAGGTTGCCTGATGAAATGCGTAGACGACATCGTCAAAGTCGTAAGTAGCAAATTGGTGACGCTTACGCATAATTTTCATGAATGGAAAGTATAGGAAGTCTATAACCACTTATCAATGTCTGTCTAAGGAGTAGAACCTTATTACCCCTAAATATAAGAACTTATCGGGGGACATGTCGTGTACAGAGATGGGCAAACGCCCGGGTTAAAACCCATAAACGCCCAAAATCGGGGGCAAAAACTATTTACAGCGAAATATGTGTTGTAATCGAGTTATGTTCAAATTGAATGACATTATTACAAAAGTTTATCGCTGTCTGATAGACGATTCGATTTGCCTTTTTATTGAATCGATTTGCTTGAAAATCGATTCAATCGGAATAAAAATAAAATCGGACGTACTCTCTTAATTGTGAGAATCCTGAGGATTCCAAGGTGAGTACTTGTGGAGTTGCCTCTTTTTCGTCCAAAAAATATTGTTTACATCGAAATTTGTAATGAGTATGGCTCCTGAACTGGCTTCCACGATGTAACATGCCGTGGCGGTCTGAGTCCGCAAGAAGACGCAAGACGGAACCGGTCGTCATCATGCGAAATCACAATGTTAGTGATTAGAAAGATGGAAGAATTGAAAAAGTAAATGAGGTGTTAAGAACAGTGAATGAAAAGAGAAGCTTATTAAAGACAATAGAGAACCGAAGGGGGAAAATGTTTGGTCATCTGATGCGTGACGACAGTTTTCTTAGAAACATAACAGAAAAGGAGGTACAAGGAAAGAGAGGCAGAGGAAGACCGAAACGATGTCAAGGCTAAAGCGCTAAGTAGAGTGATTGGCGATTACTCCACCGACAAGAGCCTAGGCCTTAAATAAGAAGATGTGGCATATACCAAATTACATATATGCCGTTTCTGCCCACGATTTTGGCGACATTGTATTCTGATATTTTGCAATTATAGCAGTGTCTCTGTTACGATGCACTCGCGATCATTTGGCATGCCGATTGCATCCAAAATGCTCGTTGATTCTATTGTAAATAATATTTTGCAATTGCAATGCAATAAGTCTGACTTGTGATGTGATCGCGATTAGTTGGCGTGAAAAGCGAAAATATCAGAAAGAACAGGGTATTTATAAATAATAATAATAAATTTATTTACCGTAACTTACAGTTAACAATCACATATTTGAACTATGATCCCCACACTAGGCTAAGCCTGTCTCGTGGGAAGCAAAGCAGGTAAGATTAACGGAATAACAAAGCGGCTTATAGAAACAAGAATTAAGTTAAAAAGTAGTAAAATACAAAAAAAAATAACAAAAAGAAATGCTTATTTGAATAACAATAACCAATCACCACAAACATAACTAATTTTAAGTTACTTACATAATCTAACAATAGGTATATTACACTTTGTGCTATTAGGCAGAGTATTAGGTGTGTTACCGTGTGGGGGATGTGTGTGCGCGTGTGTGCGTGTGTGCGTGCGTGCGTGCGTGCGTGCGTGCGTGCGTGTGTGTATGTGTGTGTGTGCGCGTGCATGTGAGTGCGTGCGCGTGCATGTAAGTGCGTGCGCGAGCGTGCGAAAGAAAGTAGGACAGTGAAAGCATGATCTTGTACGTCACGTGTGTTAATTGGATTTTTACGATAACACGCGTAGTATTTTTTTCAGACTGCTCATAGTTCTAAGGTAACAAAAACGCCAGAATTTTCTTTTTTGCCTCAAAAACACCACAAAATTTAATGTCACATTTATTTGCCAGAATGTTGTAGATACGCTGAAACAGGAACCCATGAAAACGGTGCGCAAAGCTAGTACACACAGGAGTTGGAGGAATTTTGAAGTCTCTTCTTCAACATATCTGAGTATAAAGGGGTATTGAGAGCTTTTCGGTGTGTATAAACGGTAGCTCGCAATAAATATAACTTACGGACTAAGAACTTGCGCTTCTTTGAATAAGTCTACTGTAGGGTATCGTCGTGGCTTGCGCAGCGACACCTTTAAAACAGCTCTTTGAGCTCTTTCTAAAACCAAAAGAAATGTTCCAGCAGTTCCTCCCCAGGCGAGAATACAGTAGTCTAAAATTGATTGGCATGAAGCGAGATATATAGTTTTCAATAGTTGTCCATTTGTAGCCTCTCTTAACAATTTCATAGTGTAAATAAGCTTTCGTATCCTACCGGCTGTCATCGTTATGTGTTTTCTGAAATTAAGATTTTCGTCTAATATGGCACCTAAGTACCTTACAGAATCGGCCCTTTGTATAATATCGCAACTACAGTCAGCGTCTGAGGCCCCACAGCTTTCGATATGTACTTTTAAATATGTCATTGTAGATGGCGGGCTAGAGATGCAAGTTTTGTGAAAATTTAAAAAAACGTGTTTTTTCTGCATTTAGCGTTTAGGTGATAAAAGTTTTTTTTTTAGTAACTATTCAACGCTTACCTGACGTGAAGGAGTTTTATGTTCTCCACTAATGCTGATGTCTTCGTCGACGGCTTGTAACAACTAGAAAAAAAAAATATTTTAAGATATAACTTATCCTGCATTGTATGTATATTGGAAGTATATTGAGCATTTCGCACTGTTAATACAATAAATAGTGTATAAACTCAAAAGTGTATTTCCTCAGAATCAACGAAAAACTAATTATTCGCTTCCACTGAAAGATCTGTGTAAATTCTACTTGCCAAATACACATATTTAATTTAAAAATAAAAGTGAAAAAATAATTTCGTATTTTTTAATAAGGACTATAGAACTAGCTCACACAAAGCGTCTCATTTTGAGTTAAGTAGGTATCCTTTAGTTGTTTTGTACAATAATATTGTAACGACGGTGTTATTGACTTGTAGATAATCAAATTTTACTTTCAACAATGGTACAATGTCGAATTTAACATATTTTGAGTTATAACACTATTGTAATAGCAGTGCGATTTCTTATTTGAAATTAAGATTTTTTTTAACTTTTGTTCTTGAATGTGTTTTTTTTTTTTAATTTCTAGTCATGTTGTCAAAAATATAATACGTGACGCGATATAATAGCCCCCTTTATACGCTCACTCTATCGCGCGTGACCAGGAGTGTGCAGGATGACGCGCGGGAAAGCTTGCACGCGCAATCGTGGCCGATTACCAGTTTGAAGTTTTTTAAGCTAACGTTCTTTCATGTTCGTTTTTATTATAATCAGGGGTCGGAATAGGTAGAGTGTTTTTACCTAAGCTTCCGAGGAACATAGACAGAAAATGGCGACTACCTTACGACAATATTTTTTAGGTCATGGACCTGTTCGGGATTCGGGAAATCACTTAAAAATTGACGTAATTAGGGACAGGCAGATACACTATATTTATCTTATCTTTGCGAAACAGAGGGTCGGATGCCAATCGAGAGATCCTATTGTCCTAAGCAAATATTGTCATATGACATTTTGCCATAAATATAATAGTTTAGTAGGGAAAAAATAAAATGTGTATTTTTTGTATGGGACCATACCTTTAGTGCCCCATCGTTACAGTCTTAGTCGATCCTGTCTTGAAATCACTACAGACGTATTATTAGACCTACCTTCTATAGATATGCACACTAATCGCGCGCCCCAACGTGCCTATTCGCTACTTATGCGTGTCAAAAAATTACATAATGATTATAACGGAAGAACGTCCGTGTAAACGGCAACCTTGGAACGCGCGGTCGCATGCGCAACTGATGAACGCAATCCAGCAGTCTTTTCCTGTTCCTTCCAACATCTTTACACGCACGCTTAATCGATCACGAATGTTGGATCACGCGCGATTGTCTGTGTAAAGTCCGCTAATGACCTAGGCCGGTAATTTGTCATCATTTTCAAAAATCGAAATCGAGGAAGCGACTGACGTAATAAGGCCGGTAATTTGTCATTATTTTGAAAAATAGAATACGAGGAAGCGACCGACATATTGCTGGCCTAGACAATTTGAAAATAAGAATACGCGAAGCGAAACATTGCAGGCCTAAGCCAGTAATTTGTCATTATTTACGAAAATAGAATACGTGAAGCGACATATTGTTGGCCTAGGCCGTTAATTTCACGTTATTTTAAAAAATAGAATACGCATCATTTTGCAGGTGTAGGTCAGTAATTTCTCGTTATTTTCAAAAATAGAATACACGAAGCGATATATTGTAGGCCTAGACTCGGCAATTTCATGTTATATTACAAATTTAAAAAAAAAAGTTATTTTACATTAAAATAAATTAATAAAATTGTACATAATCCCGGCTTTATTTATAAGAATAGGAGACTTTCATATTAAATCGTGTGACATCCGAGTCTCCTATTAAAACTTATCACACCTCTGAGTAACGTTAGCCTTTGCAAGTCGATAAGTTCGAGTAATCGTACGGGTGTGACGTCATTTCGATTCGGGTGTTGTGAATAAAAATGAAAAGAAATCGTACGATATCAAATCGAATCGGTCGACAACTGAACCATCGTAAGGTTCTGAATCGGCGCACGCACATGGGACTTGTCAACTATACTCTATCAAATTCGATGTAGAATGTTTAATAACAAAACGTTGCTAGGCAACCAATGATGGCATAGGAAAAGAACATTTTTTTCAATGCTCATTATTAAGGCTTGCTCTGCCCACGGCCTGCTCCTTTAATTGGAATTTAAATATGTAAGTAGGTAATTGGGTTATGTAGATCTAATACTTACCTATGATACGTATGATTTAGGAATACATAAGTTTTTGCATCCTATTAATATTACTGCTAGATGGTAGGTAATAGTAGACCAAAAGATACAAAATTATAAGATTTTATTTGATATTAATCTATTACATATTATATCATCCAGCATCTACTCGTATTTCCGATTCCGAACTTGAACTATCACCAGAACTCGAATCTTTCCAATCTCACCCTTCAAATCAAAAAGTGACTAGGGATGACACAGTTTTACAAATAATTACTGGTCATTTTTATGTCATTTTCAGGTGATTCGAAACTTCCGTTGAATAATATTCATTATGAACATGGGTTCAAGATTAGTATTATCCATAATCTAGCTTTGAATTTCGGGAGGAAATATTGAAATTGTGGTAACTGTGAGAGCCTGAGATGAAAACCCTAAAAATCATATGTTTTTGTTTGTTGACTTTCCACATCGAATTTGGCTACAGTATAGTCTCAGAGTAACGGGCGTAGTAGCAGTGCCTATGAAAACTTTGCGAGCTCTGAATGGCACTGCAACTGCCATGGAGAGGCGTGGCGTACGACTTGTTTGTCCCGTCATTTGGCTTTATAAAATAAATTCAGCAATTTCTCAGAAATAAAGGTCATCACAGAATCGGCTTGAGTTGGTCAGAAGAAGCTCGGCGGTATAAGCGGAAGCGAAACGCGCAACGTCTTTTTCACTCTAATTACAAGGACAGCTTTTTCTGGCCGGCTTAATACGATTCCATGTCGATAAGTGTGGTAGCTCCCTTATGTAAATTTTCTTACAATCAAGTTTGATCTTTTTTCTCCAATATCCTTATAATTCTTGACAACTGCATCAAGACTTGTTGTTCCATTTCATTAATTTTCCTCTCAAGTGCAATTCTCTCGTTCCTCCACTCAAAACTGTTCGATTCCCCGCTTTCATCGGGCACAACTTTCGATGTACCAATAATTTTATCAATGGTCGTATTTAAAACATCATTATTGTTTATACTTTTCGGTATTACAATACTTATCTCGGTATCTATTGTATTTGTTGGTATTTCTGTACCTATATTTGGGACTTTTGTGTCTTCTGTGTTTTTAGGTATCTCTGGTATGCTGGTTATTTTGATGCTTTTTGGTATTTCTGCACCTGTGTTTAGTATTTTGGTATCTAGGCTATTTTTGGTCAAGACATCAATGTTTTTAGTACTACCTTCAATGGTGTAGTCTATGTTTGGATTAGCTTCTAAATTGACACCAAGAGGTTCAGAAGATATTTTGGTATAAGGGGGTTCTTTAATTGATTCTACGTTTCTAGTAATCGCACCTTCCGTATCAAATATAACCCTAGTTACTTCATTTGCTATACTAAAACTAGTTTCAACAGCTTTTGAAATTAAACTTTTAGCTGTTTCTTTAATAGTCATTATTTTGCTATTCAAAGTGGCATCACTACCGACAGTTACACTAACTTTGGTATCATCCTTATTTCGCAAACATTCCACATTGGTATCAAAATTATTTCTAACATTTACACCGTCAAAATTTATATCAACGCTATTTGTCAATGTCTCAGCACTATAATCGGCACCAAAGTTATTTGTGATACTGTAAATCAATGTTTGAGTAAAAAATATATTATTCATACATTCATTTATAATTTCAGTAACAATTTGAATTGATATACTGTTATCGTTGCTTGCGCGACTGCATAACAACTTTCCAACTTCGTTATCAAACAGAAACCTTGTACTTGTGGTAACATCCCTATTTTCTACTATATTGATTGTATCACTTGTGCTTAAATGACTTGTATTTAAGTCTCTAACTTGTGAGAAATCATTGGTTTCGAAATTTGTAGTACTTGGTAAATTTATATCTTTTGTACTTTCTACAGACACCACTAAGTGTATTTTATGTACGTCTAAAGTATTTGGTATATTTTTGGCATGTTTTGGCGCACCAGTTGCGGTATCTACAATATTTTTTGTATCAGAGATATTGGTATTAAATATGTTATCAATATGAGTAATATTCACTACATTTCTGGTATTTGCAAATATTTCGGCATCCATTGGATTACTGTCCATGTTAGTGGTATCCATAAAACTTCTAGTATGCATCAAATATCTGGTATCATCTGTATTTGCAGTATGCACTGGATCAATGGTATCTAGTACATTTTCGGTATCAAAATTAGACGTGTCCTTTACATTCCCTGTACTAATTTTCATGGCATCATTATCAGATATGTCATGAAAAGTTAAAAGAGAAGAGTCCGTGTGAAATTGAGTCCTTTTTTTCTTACATTTATTGTCTACATCTGTAAAAAATTGAGGTACGGTTGAAATCAATATAACGAGGCTTAGCTTGGCTTGGCTTGATATACAAAGTTGGCAACCACCTCTTCGGCAGGCGAATATGGTTGACAAAAGCGTGTTTAAAAACAGAAATATAACAAATCGTTTGAAACGTTTAATAAGCCGATCGGGTAGGTACATATTTACACGCATTCTTCATTTTACACTCTGGCAACACTATCCTTTCTTCCCTTCTCTGCACGCTACTTCAAAACGTTTTGTTAAAATTTCAAAATACTAAAATTTTTAAATAGAAATAAAAACTCTTACAAGTATTAAAACTCTACTTAAAATCTCCTTCACGGAGTAAATCCTGGTCTTCGCGTAACTCTAATTAAAAATGCGACTATAATCGCTAAAAACGTAAATTGTTGTCCTTCCTTTCTCTTTCGGACCATGGTTACATCTCATATTTCAATTATCAGTTCGTACAGGGAAGTACTGCCTTACATATTTCTGTCGCCAAGCAGTAATGTGAATGTAACTGCGTTTCGATTTTGAAGAGTAAGGGTGCTGGTGAAATTACAGGCACATGGGACTTGTCAACTTATGTCTCAAGGTGACGGGCGCAGTGGCAGTGCCCCTCAGATCTTTGGGTTTATAGCTCTGAGTGGCACTGATGTTGTCATGGGGCGTTTTACACGAACCTGATTGTAAGCTACTACAGTAGCTTACCATCAGGTGCACGACTAGTTCATCCCGTCACCATCTTATTAAAAAGAAATGTTCGCGATAAAGTCAACTGCACGTTACATACAGCATTGGGAATGTTTGATGCCGTAGTAATATATAATAATATAAATAGTACGAGGTCTTATTTGCCTTTGTTAGATCATTAACATCAACTCGTACCACTGCTGGATACGGATCTCCGCCAAGCTAAATGTCTAGGCCATTGTCCGCCACGTAGGCCCAATTCAAATTGTCTAATTAGATATTACATACTAACCAAAAAGGTACTAACTAACCAGGTGTTTTAATTTGTGTCCAGAATCGATTTCTCAAGCATTCCACGCAGCTGTTCGCATCGATATCATTATCCACCTTAACTATATAGGAGTTAGATTCAATTTTGCGCGCTGGTCCGGCCCATTCGTTAGGCTCGCTTTCTCTGTCTAAGTGCAAGGGGTGTTTTAAAAGCATTGGTATTATACAGTAGTACAGTTCTAAGAATTTTCATACTTTGTTAAAACAACTAAGCGTGAAGCCACGCGAGATGCATTACAACCAGTGTTGCCAGATTAGGCGATTTGTCGCCATCTAGGCTACTACGACGGGTCGCGCGGTGACTAAAAGTGATATTCAGGCTATGTTTGAAATAGGAAAAGACGATTATAGGCTACTTAACAAAATGTCTGGGGAATTACAAATTTGATTGGGGATTTTGTGGGAAAAGGGGTTTAAAATAACTTATTTGGGGGTTTAAGTATTTCGACGTGTGGGGAATAAAGATATTCCCATTGTCATGACGTGACAATGGGAAGAGCTAGAACGACAGTCGTTAGATGATAAATAAAACGTCATGATAAAAATATGACGACAGTCCGTCGTGCGAACGACAAGTCAACTGCCAAGAACCGGTAAATTGTCGTCTCGATGTAGTGGGAACAGCTAGACACGACAGTCGTTCAACGATGAAATAAACATCCACGACACAGTCACGACAGATTGTCGTGATATGGGAACAGGCTAGACGCGACTGTCGTCCAACGATAAATAAAACGTATAGCCCTTAGGGTCGTCACCAGTAGTGACAGTGCCTCTCAGATCTTTGCGATTTAAAGCTCTGAGTTATAACTGCAACGGTTGCCACCAGGTGCACGACTTGTTCACCCCGTAGCTTGACATCACAAAAAAAATTGCATAAATAAAAATTTACAGACGCCTTTGACTATACAACTGAAGTATGATTTTTAAACAGGTTAAATTATCTAACCTCGTATATTATCCCATTTATTTTCCCAATAATTGCATAGAGATTTTGTAGAATTATTCGCTTCGTATAGTTCTGAATCGCGCCACGCATTATTATAGTCAGCACGGTCGCTTGACATGTGACCTTGGTCATGGGATGTGTGAGCTCGGTCATTTAAACTGACGACTCGTTCGTTTAACCCGTCGAGTTG